TAAAAAATGAAGAAATAATCAATGAAAGTCAAAAACTTTGATTTTGTCTTCTTTTTATTCCTTTTGACGGCATGCAAAGTACACAGTGATTTTTTTAAGTCTTGTAATGCTTTAGAGTTTCCCCCATCTCGCGTAAACATCACGTTAACAGTTTTATTGGTTTTTTTTCAAGGTCATATATGTAGACCAAATATTTTTGCCACTGCCTGCATGCTAACTTTTGCAACAGTCGAACAATATGAACAAAAAATAACCTATAAATTATGCAGGCGGGTGAAACGCAAAGCGCAAGCATTAGTAAGAGGGAATTGCTTTCCTCAATTCAAAGTAGAACGGTTTAATTTTTACTAATTTTTATTTTACTTCGGCAAACGAGCCAAATTGGCAAATTTCAACTTAAAAAAAAAATCTTCAATAAAAAATTACCTGGTATATATAATCATTGCGATATTGAACTGTACGAGAGTTGAACCAATAAGTTAGAAAGGAAAACTCTTATTTGATTTTCGAGCTTTTTTTCAACATGCTGACTAAGCCTTTCAGCTCACATTTCTTGAATATTCGGAATCAGCGCGCAACCACAAACTGATTTTGATGCATTGCATTTGATCCTTTTCTTGTCTCAAATGGTTGTTCAAAACACTTTTTTTGTAATTAATGCAACTGCTTCTCGATTTCTTCAAAAGCGTTACAGAAAAAGTGTTACCATACCTATACTGTTTCTTGACTTGTCCGAAACTTTTGAATGATTACATCTGTTTTGAGGTGCTCTGAACTCTATCGATTCTTATTTTATTTTTATTTGTGATGGACATTAATCTGTTGTATGTTTACTGTGTTCAAACTTCTGAGCACTGTTCAATATTTTGTCCGAAGAAAGTGCACCGAACGTAGACTGGCAAATAAAACGACAGCTGTTAAGACGACAACAGTTTTTGTTGGAACTTTAAATCAACTCTACACGCTATTCTCCACATTGTGTTTCTGAGAAATTGAAAAAGCCTAAAATTGAACTGCTCATTTTACTTGTAATAACTTTTATTTGACGTCCTAAAGTCTTATGGTCATAATGACCTGTTGTTTTAATTACCTAGCGCCGTGTTGAACGTAGGTGTGTCGAGCTGTGTCACCTTTCAGATCTTCGAGACAAAGAGGTCATAACTAATTCATGTTATAGCGTTTTTAGTTTTGACTTGACTGCTTGTGCAGTTAGGGCTGCATGGAACGTTTCTTATGACTCCAATATGTCTTTTGCCCTTGGACGCAGTTTGTGCCTCCCGTATCTGACACTTTTGACCTCTTGGAATGACAAATAACTCTGACAATAGGAACCATTTTTACCTCCTTCCTGTCACCTCCTGTTTTGTTTCATGTAATTTCTGCTGCAATTTTTGATTTTGCATGCATATCTTGTTATATTCTGGCTTCTTTCTATCTGGGCCTAAGTATTGATTCTATTGATTTTTAATTGGATATAGCAGTACTATTTTGGGAACCACATTTTCTTCTACTGTTGCTGCCATCATAAACTGGTCCAAGTATTTTTAAAACGATGATTGTCTAGTTAAGTCGTTGCCCAGTACACCGGGTTCCCGTGCTGTTCTCTCAATTTGTAAATCTTTTTGGCTGCACCATGTGATATCAAGCGATCTTAGCTAAAAACTAGATGTATTTTAAAGTTGAATTGAGCAATTTACGATTCAACCTTTTTTCTACAGATTGATCAATAGGCACATATTTCATCATTGATGTTTAGCACACTGAATCTGATAGCAATCTTTTTGATGCATTGCATCATAAACTTAACCTTGACCGGCATTACATACTATAATTACCGACTTTTTTAGGTAACATCTGGCTACTGCCGTAGCAGTACCACATGCGGCTAGATTCTATTAAAATTTTGCCGAGCGGATTGTTGTCTCCATGAAGTGATTTGAATTAATAAAATTCTTCTAGGGACAAGTTTTCAAGTAGCACTAATTTTTTTATTGATGGGTACTCGCCGAATTCAATCATCGTGATGCTGAGCCACTTCTGCGATTTTTAGTTGAGCTTACTTTCGTCAAGCGAGATAGCAACCTTTTCTCCTCGTCCAATTTTTCACAAAGCTGATGTAACTTTTTAGAACCTTTTGTGGCTTAAAGAAATGTTTTATAAGACGCGAACGTGATACAAAAATAGTTTTTTTAAGTTTTTGCAAAAGTTACAGGCCAATATCTTTGGTGTTTACATCGACTTTTTCTAGTCTGAATGTGAATGGGCGTTGTGCTTCTTCCATCCCAAATATGATGAAAGTGTAGCTCTTCGTTTTTGTTCGGCAAGAGTGATTTTACTATATACCTTATTCTTTATTTTCTTGTGATTCGGTTAGTGTTTATTTCAGTCTAAGTAGGTATGTTAAATTGATTAGCTTTCTAAAACCCTCAAGTTGGACCAATATCAAGGTTACTGCAACTGCTAATCTATGCTGTATTATTGCTAAGTTTCTAACGTAGTGGTTTTCTCTTTTACAAAAATTACTTTTTTATGTTTTTATCGTAGACTCGTTTGAAATTTTTTTTGGCATTACTTATTGGAATTCAAAATACCTCGATTTTTGTTATTTTAAAAACAGTTTTCTCTTTATCAATTTTTGTGCAAAATTCAGCCAAACATTTTTTGAATTTCTGTTTTTTGTTTTGTTCGGATCAATTAGATCAGCATTGGATTGTTTTTGCACATACGGTCAATCAGCACTTAGTAAAACTTAACAAGACTGCTCGTATATCAGGGCAAAGCCCTGAATGTTCCGACCGCACTTGAATGTTCCGACTGCACTTGAATGTTCTGACTGCACTTAATTATAAGGAAAACAAAACAACTCGTATCAGGGCATTGCCCTAAATGTTCCGACTGCCTTTTAAGTTTTAAGGTCTATGAAGCAGTAATAACATCGAAAAATTAAATGTAATCAAAAAACTGGAAAAAATTTTCTTTTTAATTTGAGATTTTTTGTGAAAATCATCCCAGACGCCAACATAAAGTACAAAGTGGTAGGTTTTGCTCCCTCTGGTAGTTTCTACTCACATGAAAGTTATGGGTAATAGCCTACTACAACCATATTGGAACAATTTTTTAGACGGATTATTTATCCATTTCTAACGTAGTGGTCAATCGTCCCAAATCGGCCAAATTGGTAATATTTAAACAAATATAATTTTACAAAAATGATCACAACTGATTTTTTTTTAATTTCAGCTCAGTGCATCCATACTTTTTGAATAAAATTTACAAATTGAGTCAAAAATGACCAGTTGAAAAGTCAACATTTTTCTGAAGAAAAAAAACCACCCGAGCGCAAATGTTCTGTTACTTTCGTTTCAAAAGTCGGAACAAAATTTAAAAAAAAAAGCTTTTCTTTTCATTTTTCTTTATTTTATCCCTATTGTGATAGTAGGATTAAATTTCTGACCTCAATTACTTTGCTGAACGCATAAGTTTGTTCCTTACACATGTTATAAGTACACAGTATACCGCACTTTTGTTATCTCAAACTGACCAAATCAATAATTTTTGTAAGCGCCCGTTACTTTACGAAAATATCTCAAGTGAAATGTTTTTTTTTTTAAAAACTGGGCCTAAGATAACGATATCTCTCAGATGGTTTAAAAAACTCCGTCAAAAATGCTTTGTTAACAAGTCGAAAATTGACTGAACAAAAAAATCACACAAAGCATAGATATTGCGCACTTTTTTCGTATTTCGGAATATAAATACTTATGATTATCAACCGAGAGATAAAAATGTGACATATACCTAGGGTAATTAATTTTGGTAACCATTTTTGGTGGAAAAATCAAGATATAGGAAAAGTTTTCAGAATGAGACTAAATGCGTCTTAGTAATTGTTCCAATTTAAGTTGAGGCATGCTATTTGTTCTATTTAGTACTTTCTTTTAAGCAAAATGTTTCAGTTTGTACTTGGCATAGCGTCAAAAGTGAACATTATTCGATAAAGCTGAAAAGGCGGCCGGATTATTCAAGGCTTCGCCCTGATTCGAGCAGTTTTGTTTCCCTTTCAGATTGAGTGGTAATCTGAAATGGAAACAAAACTGCTCGCATCAGGGCGAACTTTAAACTTGATCGAATAATTTTACATTATTTAAATTTTTCCATTACTGGGCAATTATTTCACAATCATTTTTGGCACTCAATTTTATACAGTAGTTGGCAATAAATATTCTTCAAACTTTTGTAGTTTGAAACTGGGCTCTTTAACTTTTCTCCCCACTCACTTCCACCAACATTCATATTGAATGTAAAAAGTGGTTTTAAAAGGTTAGCTAAGAAGAACAAATATGTTTGTCATGATTCAATTAAGTTGCGTGTCAAAATCACTATAATCAGTCGGAAAAAAATTGTGACCAAATTTTTCATTTGTAAAATTTGAAAATATTGGGAACAAGGAGCCAATAAAGAGGGGAGAGGAGGATAAAGAGCCAAAAATGTTAATTGAGTCTGTTTTGGCACCAACTGAATGATGGTGAGATGTCGAATCCCGACGAGCGTCCAAACCCTCCTAAATCCGCCCCTGATACTAACGCTTCTGCTTGTGAAAGGGTTCTTTTTCTATGGGGAGGAAAACTTGACAATGGTTTTGGAGCTCGGGCTTGGGTTACTCACTGAATGGTTAAATAATTATCATTGGATTGCAGACATAATTACTAACCAAACATGTGGTATACTAACTCATAACACTGTAAACTTTCGCTACCTAGTTGCTTCAGCTTGTTCATTGACTTTTTCGCTTCATCAAGCATATCTTTGGCGTTGTTTCGTGCTCATATGGTAATACTAGACTACCATATGTTATGTAGTTTAGTTAATTTTTATACACTGCAATAACACAACATTACAATATTTTATTTCGTTACGAAATTGAATTGCATATGTAAAAAAAATTCAGCGCCATTTTTTGCAAGCATTTATTTATATTTTTTAAACAATCATAGGCCCATTTGAACATAAATTATGACTGTCAGTTACGTAAATGCAAAATTTACATCCCAAATAATTATATCTTGCGTATTAGCTTACTAAATACAGCAAAAAATTTTAAGCTGCCGATATGTGCTCAAACTTCAAATCTAAAAACAGCCGTTTTTGAAGCACAATAAAACTGTGATCATGAATTTATTCAGCTTGCTTATCGGAAGACACCGACGTTTGAAAGGACCTACGCGATATGCACTAGACGCGGAAGAGACGGAGGGTCTGAACATGGGATCTTTTATGTTGGAAACTGGTGACAATGCTCCTACTCTTTCAAAAGATGGTCGGAGTATTCGGTTAGAAAAATTCAATTTTTATTAAATCGCGTTGTAATAAACGCTTTGTATTTCAAATAAGCTATGCATAAAAATTGGAAAAATTGGCACAGAATTGGGAAAGTCAATTTTTATTCTTGAACAAAGACTTTTTTGTTTCGATTATATAGTGGTGAAGCATTATGGTTTTATTAAAAATTTCACCGCAAATTAGCACTGACGAAAAAAATGCAAAAAAAGTTGAGTGAAAGTTCATAATAGTGGTTTTAGTCATGACTTGAGCTGCATTATTTTAACAATATAGAACATAACAAAAAACTCGATTTAGGTTATGTTTAAGATTTTTATTTCACCATGATGCCGAAGATCATTCAATCGTTAAGATCTTTAGTGTAAGTAGACCTGATTATTATTTTATATTAAAAATCTAATCTACAATTAATCGATTATTAATCAACCCCGTTCCTCAAAACTAGAAATTTTCTTCGGAAATTTTACACAAAGAGTGATTGCAGGGGCGTATCTAGGATTTTCTCGAGGGGCGGAGGGGCAGAAAATTTTCGAAACTAGTGTCGACCATTTTTTTAGGTCGGACCTATTGATTTTTCGAGCTCTCTCAAAGCACCAAAAACACTAACAAAAAGACTGTTTTGGCAAAATTTTCAGCGCGGCAGGCAAAATTTTGAAAAAAAACAGGCCAAAAAAAGTGTTTTTAGGCACTTTTTCGAAATTTTTGACCAAGAAATTGCGTTTTTTTTTGGGCCTCAAATTACGTATATATTGGCGCCAAAGGCGCCTTTAGAAAATTTTTCATGTCTGTCAACAAAAGTGGATATCTCAAAATAGTACAAAGGGGGGACCTTTTGGGTCGGCAGGAGGTCGAATCCTTGAGAGAAAGAAGCGTCCATCCCCCCGCCCCCCTCCCCTAAATCCGCCCCAGTGTGATTGGATAATGCGATGCAACTCGCACAGAAAACAGGTATCCGGTTAAATGCTGTGCAGATAGTCGATTGTTGTGGCAAAATTGGACCGTGTAACGGATCATCTGGTGCAGTTTAATTGATCATTTTTGTAACCAACAAATCCAATAAATTTCATTATCATCAGTAAAAATCTATATCTTTAAAGCATTGTCACCGACGTATTTTACTGCAAAAAAGCTTAATTTACTTGGCTGTTTAATATTTCTGCGAATGTCGAAAAATTTGAAGCCTATGTTTTTGGAAGATATATTGACGAGCATTTTAGCAAAAACAATTCTCGTTTTTGGTCAGACTTACTGACCATCAGCTGAGATTTTGTCGTGTCGTTTTTCCGTCAGACGAATAAAGCAGGAAGGAGATTGATTCCCAGGCCTCAAATATTCACAAAACTTTTAATTTTTTTAATTTAAAACTATCCTGAAATTAAAAATAAATCTACTGTGAACAACTGTGATATTTTTAATGCAAAAACTTAGCGATAATTTAAAAAAAAAAATAGAAAAAAAAATAAAATCAAAGTTTCAAATAAAAATTTTTTTTGACGTTAAAGAGCAACTTGAACATTTAGGGCTTCGCCCTGATACATGATACAAACTGTCTGGTTTGGTCTGTAAGCTCAATTACTTTTCAAGACTTTGCAGTAGAGTTAAAGGGGATTCCGACTTTTCTTAAAGGGGACAATGATGATAGCTAATCAGAATCATCTTTTCTACGCCCAGTGCTTATGGTTATTTCAAACCAGATTAAACGGTGGGGTGGTAACTTTTAACTTAGTCTATCAAGAAGGAGGATGCTACCTTGATCCTTCCATTGCAATCTGGAAAATAGAAAATTCATGTGGATGACAAATGCAGTACAAGAAGGCCGAAGTACACGAGTGCCGAAGTAAAAGAGTACCAAAAGCAAGAAAATGTTCAATAGTGCACAAACTTTATTTACAAAATGAAGCTTACGGTGACCGAGCAAAAGTGAACAATAGATGCTCAGTCGCTGACGAGAAAAGCAGCAATAAACCAACGTAATTATGGACGCATCAAATAAAATAACAATCGTCCCTCACTATATTAGCTTCTTAAAAGTTTGTTTGCAAACAATACATAAATAATCAACAAAGTGTCTCAAAACAACAACTTAAATCCGTTGGAAGGTGGGGTCCCTCGTGATGGAGGGGCCGAACGTTGGAAACTTATTTTCAGTTATTTTCAGCCATTCAGAATTGAGTCTTCAAATTTCTCACAGAAATCGCGGAAATTTCAATTTGGAAAAAAAAATTAGGCCTTAAAAACCAAAATTGCCCCTAAACCAGTTTCTGCAAATTTTGAGATCAATTTTGCAAAAATCATTCAATGAGTAAAAATGACTAACGATTATGATTGGTTGAAAAATTCCATCATTCGGTCCTTCCGTCATGAGAATAGCCCCCCACTGGAAGATGGAGGAAATTTCTTCGAAGCAAGGACAAAACGTGACTAATAGCATAAAGCGTCAATTTTTGGCACTCTTGAACACTTTTTATTTTCCGGTCTTTTAATACTTTGGCACTCTTGAACGCGCCAACTTTTTCAGCTACAGCATCTGTAGCTGAATTGATGTTTCGGCTCTCTAATAGTACTCTCCATATCTAAAGTCCACTCCATAAAGTGCTTTTGTGTTTAAGGGCGGCTAGTGAAGCACCAAAAAATGGATATCATAGAAACTCGCTAAATGGTGAAATTGCATTTGTTGCCAGCAAAACCTGCCGATGCGTCTGCAAAGATCAAAATAGCAGTCAAAAACGTCTTGTGGAATCCCAAACGCACGTCGACAGCAAGTCTACCGCCAATAGTTCATCCAATTTCATATCAGCTGAAATGTTCCATGAGGCGAAAGAAATAATTGAAATGGTCAAATGTGGAGATGAAAAAACTTCTAACGGCAAAACAAACATCAAAACAGAAGAATCTCCTGCTGAGAATGTTGATTTGCTAATGGATAACAGCAGCATATGCTCCGACTTTGAATCAATAGAACAAAAGCCACTTCATTTAAAATATTCTTTTTCAAGAGAAAATAGTTTAGAGTCACAATATGTTGCACTGGATGGCTACCATTGCGATCCATGTTGTAAATCACTCCCTCAAAGAAGAAAAATTCGCACTGGTTTCTACAGCGAATTTAACAATATCAGCGCCGCTCCCATGTCAATAATCGGAATTTTAATACTTATTTTGTATTTACTACTTGGTATGGTAATTTTCCACACAGTTGAGCAACAAGGAGCTGTTCGCGTGACCTCAGAAAACGACTTTTTGCTGTTCGATTTCATACAAGAGTGGCTGGAGCGAACCTACAACGCGGAGTTCTCAAATGTGACCGAGTTTCTGGCAGGGGCGCTGAAACAGTTGCGACACAATTCGACCGAGTTGGAAAAATATTGGGAGTCAAAACTGGGCAAAGAGACTATCTGGACATGGCCCAATGCTTTATTCTACAGTTTCACTGTCGTCACAACTATTGGTGAGTTTTTCAAAATAAACACGATTATCAATTTTCATCTTTCTTGTCATTTTGATTAAATTGTTTATAACTCAACTTAGTCAACGAAAAAAAGGTCGACAAAATTTTCGAAAATCCTTCGTGAAAATCCTAGATCCGCCTCTGTTTGTAACATGAGAAATCTATACCATATACCATAACCTGGTAACTTATACATAAATTGATCTGAAATTTTTAATTTTGGCACACGAACGCCTCTGGATTTTCGAAAAACGTTTAGTATTCAGGTTTCAAACAGCTATAGATTGTGTGACTTTGATATTTTATCCATGTTAGTATGAAGTGCAGAAAATTTTTGTGCCAATGGAAACAAGGAGTCAAAAATCTCAATTCTTCTGAGCCACCTACACTCGGCCGAAATTTTCGAAAGAAAAGTTTTAAATAAAGATGAGCGTCATTATCTTTGAATGAATTTCAGGGTACGGAAACATAGTGCCAACCACTTCACTCGGTAAAACCATCACCATCATTTATGGAATTGTAGGAGTCCCCCTTTTCTTCAGCGTCGTCTCCTACTGGGGGGAGATTGTGCACCAACTGCTGGTCAAGTTTGAAAAACTTCTTCTCTTGAGGAGCAAAACTGTGGCTAAGTCGATTCCTACCCAGTCCCGCAAAATCATTGTCATCATTATATTCCTTCTGATTTTTTACGGGCTTTTCGTCTTCGTAGCCGCGACCCTGATTGACACTTTCAGACAAGACGAAATGGGTTTTGTTACGTCATTGTACTTCTGTTACATAACAATCAGTAGCATTGGTTTTGGAGATTACTCATTGTTGACTTATGACGATACATTAGCGACATGGCTGAGCTACTTCAGCTTTATGCTCTATGTTTTTTTATCTGCAGTTGGTTTGGCTGGTGTTGTTATTTTTAGAGTGTACAGTTGTACAGATAACTATGTTTTATTAGCCGATGAAATATCGTGAATTATGGTAGTGATTTTAATTCCACTCATGTACAATTGTTGTATATTGTTTTAAATCGTCTACTAGATACTGTAGCAAAACCCCGAATGTTCCGACTGTCTTTACATTTGTGAAATTTTTATTAACAAAAATCATACAATTAGTTAAAACACTTTTTCAATTAAACACTAGCTCCAATTTTTAAGAGTCATAAATTCCTTGAAATAATCACAGGTAATGTTGACCCGAAGTTACTTCCCAAGGATTAATAAACAACACGTTGCGAAAATCGGGATAAAAACGTTCTCTGTGATAATAGATCCTGATTTTTGCTACGCGTTGTTTATTAATCGTTGAGAAGTAACTTGGGGTCAACGTTACCTGTGATTATTTCAAGACATTTTTCAGCCACAACATTTTCCATCAATCAAGTTCCTGTGCTTTAAATAGTCCAAAACACATGCAGTTATGGACTATAAAATTCAATTTTCAAAAACTGAAAAATTGTTTTCCAAGTAATGTTGGAACTTTGATACCTGTTGGCATGACTGATTTGCGCTGAAAAAGGCTAAATTGATAAGAAAAAATTAAAATTTGTTTACTAGTCTCAATGAACCTAACGTAAAAAATTTTTCCACTCAACAGCCCAGATTGATGAGAATTATGATAGAACCAGGGGCGGATTAAGGGGGGGGGGGCGGACGCCCTCTCTCAGGGATTCGACCCCCTGCCGATCCAAAGGCCCCTTGTTTTGTACTATTTTGAGATTAATAAAGATATCCATGTTTGGCTGACTAACCCAAAAATTTTCTAATATATATACTAAAATTGCCAAAATATATTAATTTTGAGGGGAAGCGCGCGCCGAAAAGAGCCGATTTTTTTTTGTCAAAATAAACCAAAAAGTGCCTAAAAATGCTTTTTGTCCCTCTCACGAAAATCCTAGATCCGCTCCTTGATAGAACATTTGGAAATATAGAAAACTTAGTTAACAAAAAACGTTTCCAAACCACAACTAAAATTAGTTCAAGAACAACCGGTAGTAAAGCAGCTACTCATGATACTAGAGCTTGAAGCTGACAGATTTATTGATCTAGTTCACGAAAAAACTGACGGACTTATTGTGTTAGGGTGCCTTCTTCTCAAAAAGCTTTTTGACATTTTTAACTAGCAACTTTTGACAATTTTTTCAAACAGTCTTCTAAAGATTTTGTTAGTCAGGGATAAAAACTAAAAAAAAAAAATTGTAGTCATTTTGTGAAAAAATGAGGGGTTTGAATTTGGGAGTAAATTGACTACCAAAAACCAAATTGGCGTAAGCATTGCGAAATGAAGCGTAATCAATAATTTAATGAATCCAAATTGAACCGAGGTAAGCATATTGTTCTATTAATTAGCGTATTGGTGGATAAAAAATAATTTTTTTTTAAATTATTTGTGAATATTAGAGGCTGTATCATGATAGGTTCCTGTCTATTAGTTTTTTTTTCATTTCAGTTAATACCTAGATTTAATTTCCAAAACAGTTGCTTAAAGTATCACCTAAGAAATTTTAAGTAGCAAAATTACAACACAAAGCACTCCTTGCAATTTACAAAGCAAAAGTCACCTAAGAACTGAAGCTAAACGCAATTTCAAATAAAGCCATGGTCAGAAAAAAAATTTGTGGCTTCAATTGATTAACTTTTTATGAGCAATATTAAATAGAAAAAAATTTGTCTTCATATGTTTTTTGATTTTTAGTTTGCGGTACAATTAAAGTGTTCCAATTTTTTAGGCTCTGAAGATTTTAACATTTGAAGCTTTTGTTGAGTAAGAATGACGAAATGAGTAAGACGCCCCAGTATCAATTTTGCGATGTGCTCAAATTGGATTGACCAATCAAATGTGTGTATTCGATTTGCTTAGAATGTTCAGCGTATTCTGAAAATTTCTTTTGAGCATGTTTTCCTTAATTTCCTGTTTGTGTCGTTTGTAATTTAATCAGGTTGCGCCATTATGAAGTCTTCATTATATTTAGAGGTCTTAGGGGCACTTTGTAGCGGAATATGGTAAAACTAATCAACAGTTTCTTTTTTGCATGCAGTTATATGTTCCTATTCAAAATAGAATGGAAGTAACCAATCGATGCATCTTGACAATCCGAGATGATGGGTTTTGTTTGACCAATGTAATTTAATTATACCAAGGCTACATGATCTATTACTACTTTTTCAAAAAAGATAATAAAAAAGTAGCTATTCTAACCCGTCGGTTGAGTATTTTTATCACAAGTTTTTTGAAAAAAAGAAACACTCTATTCATTAAAAACAATTACTAAAAGGAAGTGTACGTATATTGCTATGAAAAACTAAAATAAAATTATCATCTGATATCTAACATTGAAAAGATTGAAAATTTTGTTGTTTATTGTCAAACAAATTTGAAACTATTCCATCCAACCCTTCCACAGGCTGCTTCTGTTTCATCTAAATTGTTTGTTATTCCTGGGTCATGACTAGGACATTCATTAGTAGCATTCTGGTGTTTAATGGTAACAGTTTTTAGATGAGTTGTAGAGTCTTAAAGCGACATGCATACTGTCTCAGTATACTTTTGAATTCATGTTGAGAAATTCAAATTTGGTCGATGACAATTATCTATTTGACCACGATAACCACGATATTTGGCAATTGAATTTTCATCACTTATATATTTTTGATTCGAATAAGATTTATAATATCTTTTTTCTTTTTAACTGTTTTGCTAAATTTAATGAAGTTTTTTCTTTTTAAGTTTTAATGAGTGTTTTATGAAATTTCTCAACAAAACTTTCCAACTATGTTTCAAAATGATTGATAGCTATTTCTGAGTTTTTTAAACAGAAATCATAGTATCAGCAGCGAATTAAAAGACTCTGCAATTTTTTGGTAATGCTAGTTCAGATCAATAATGTATAAGTTGAAAATATGTAGTCCAAACACTGTACCTTGCGGAAGGTCTTGAAACAGAATAATCCAACCTGACGCAATATTATCAACTTTTGCTGTTTGCTTTCTATTGCTCACGAAATTTCCACGCAGTTCAATTGAACCTTTTGAATATTTTTTCCAGCTTAATTTTGCGAAAATTGTGCTCAATTGCTTTTGAAAGAGCAAAAAAGGAGGAAGCAGCAGTTTTTATTTTAGCATTTGATTTTCGAAACGTTTCAGTAGAGTGAAATAGTATAGCTATGATGTAGTAAGATACTCGGAAACTAAATTGTGCTTTGACTATACAATCATCATTCAGGAGGTAATCATTCATTTAATTACTTGAAAGTTTTTTAAAACTATTTCATAGCCCACGTGAATTAAATTGATTTTCAATTTTCTGATTTTTTGGGGCTTCTGTTTCATATAGAAGTGTAGAAAGAACATCTTTGAACTTGACAGGATATTTTTTGAACTCAAAATACTCTTTGAAGAGGAAAATAAGGGTTGTGATATGCTATATGCTCTATACTCAAGTGCCCAGGCTGGTTAATCACACGGACCTGAAGTTTTTTTTTTAATAATTGTGGTGTCTCACTTTTTTGAAATCTAATTGTATTAAAAATCAAAGAGATAGTTTATTTGGAGTTTTTGTTGATTTTTTTGCATCAATGATAACTTTCGAGGGCTGATGCTCATTGTCCGGGTATCGAGCGATTTTTTGAAGAACTAGTCATCTTCTTCTTTTTGATTTATGAATTCTAGTCAATCCCGTTTTTGACGTGGCACGAGCTTTACTACTTTGAACTAATTTTTCATTAAACATTTGGAGATCGTTTCTGGGTGGTCTAGTAGTCATAGAAAAATTTCGAAACCAATTTTATTAAAATTTTAGCATATTTTTTCACTCTAGAAATTGTTTTAGTTTTTGTTTGATTTATTGAGCGGTGGGTTGAATCCGTATTCACCTGTTTTGGTCAAAATTCTTTGCAATACGGTATGACTGACTTTAATTTTCAATAAATCGAATGTTACATGTTTTAAATAATGTGACGCTTAAGAAATCAAATTCCAACCGGAATTGGATTTTTTTAAAGATGCTCAATAACCCGTCATGTGACGAGACGCACAGGATCCGTGTTTTCTTGATTTGGTCCAGATAGTTCAACGATACGGTTTGATTGACTTTGGCTTACATTAAACTGAAACACTTTGTTTGCTGATCCATCTAGTGAGTTTTATTGTCCCTCTTTGGCAAAAAAGGAGTGTTATAGTGTCATTTGCCAAATTTATCAAAAGTTTACAAAACGTTTGATCGTTCTCATGAAGCGCTAAGTTTGCAATCGCGTCATTTGTGCTGTTCAACGTCTTAGATTCTTCTAGACCAAAGTTAAATCCCAACCATTCTTTGGGTTCTTTCATCAACTGCAAGTAGCTGTAGCAACACAAAAAATTCCAATTATAACCTTCTGATACAGGATTTGGTTCACAAAACCTGGCCCGTTCGTTCTCTTCTTGTAGTTATAAGAATAATGTCCAAAATTCAATAAATAAACTATTGCCCTGAAAGGGTTTTGTTGAACGCCTGATGTAAAATAGCCGGCATGTCGGTCAGACCACAGATTGATGTTTCCCCACATTATTGATGTTGCTGTGAATTTGACATTTGGACCCAACGGTAACTAAAATATGCGTGAACCTCTTTCAGGTGCAATTTCGAGAACCACACAAAATCCATATCCAACAGAGTGATCACTTGGGCAGTGTCAATGTTCGGCATATGCTAGTTAGTTTTGAGAATCTTTTTATTTAGAACTGTAGATATAATTTCAGTTGAATGGATTGATCTCGTTTCAATGAATTCACAAGAGGCGATACGAATTTGTTCTTAGGATAACAAATCAATTTTTTTCCTTTATGCAAATTCCCAAAATTGGACCAATTTTCTCTTCAGTTTTTCTTGTAAATTGAATTGAGTGCTTCTGCCCTTTTGGTGTGTGTCTGTAAAATTTCGATGTTTTATTGAATGTAATGGGAAGTTACTTGCTAATCCCACTCGAGTGAATAAACTTTTGAACTCAATTGTCATTTTTTTTTTCAGTTCGCACTCTTCCAAAAAAAGTTCTATAATCTTACCCTGTTTCGATTCTTTACTTTTATGCTATTTCTGTGTCACCCGTAACCCTAGTTTCTTCAGATAGCCTCGTTCGGGAATCAAT